TGATGATGATGATGATGATGATGATGATGATGATGATGATGATGATGCGGCTTCTTGCGATGTGGAGACTTGCTATGGGAGAGGGACTGCTGGCATTGACTTTTCAACGTTTCGTTACTCAAGGGGTGGATTGGGTTCTCCTGCACCTGCTCAAATATCCCATCTATAGTAGTAAACACTTTCCAAGAACTCCACCTTCCCAACACATCCCAACTTGTGTACAGCCCAAGGTTATCAATGCATAGCCGTAGCCTAAATACACGCGATATCGTTCACTCCCGCAGTTATTTCAGCCTTGGCGGGCTGCATATTGCTTGCTCCGCTGGCTGTGCTGGCTGCGCTAGCTGCCTGAGCGTAGAGATTGCAATGAAATGCTTCAAGTCTTGGCCAGTGGAGTTGGATGCTTCAGCCATTGACCCATGACTCATGTGGTGTGTCTCAAGACTTTCGGGACCCGCAATCAAAAAGGAAAAGAAGTGAACGTGGAGCTTGAAGACTTGTCGACGCCCATGCCTTGCCTCCTGAGACGAATCTGAGTGCTCTTTGGAGTGGCCCCAAAGCATCTCCTCGCCGCAGTTGCCAAAGTGAGAGACCACTCAACGTCCCCAAACTCCATGATGATCGAAGTGGAAGGATAGTAAACTGTGGTCGATGCAAATAGTCTTGCATGTCACCGATGCAGTGGCCGGCAGGTTCCCAATCTCAAAATGATCGAGAGGACCTCAAGGATAACTGAATACTAAGAAGGAAACAAGTTTCATCAATCAATTTGAATGCTTAAGAGGATATGGATATGTGACCCTTTGTCTATGCAAGTCGTGTAGAACACCTGCCCAAAACTTGGGCTGTGCATATGTCTTTAAAGGCTGACATCTTACTTCCTTCTCCAACAGTGCGCTCTGCCCATCTCTGTCCACTGTTTATGTCTATTCTTTCAAACATGTTGGGGTTCATGTGGCAACATGTCTTGCACCAGCTCCTCGTTTATGCCCACCTTTCAAGGTGTCCGGCCACTTCTGATCATGATCCCATCTCCCACCATGCCTGGGAGCGAACCAAAAGGGCATCATTGAAGCCATGCCAGAAGGCGTTCATGGTCGTCATGTCCTTGAACACCAAGATTGGCAGGGCCACAGCTCGAAACGTGGAATTGCACAACTCCAAAGTTTGTTCAGCATTCTCTATGTACCCATTTGTTGTTCAGGCTGCGAACTGACTATGGTTGCTTAATGGTTTGGAATCCCCTCCAAACATGCTCTCCAGAGCATCCAGTCAGGTGCTTGAGGGAACCTGTGTGGAGGGAGACTGCAACAAGCATCGAATCCCCATCCCATCAGTTATTCTGAGGATGATTCCTGAGTTCGCAGAATTGCATACGCATATCAAATCTGGTTGCCTGCAAACAAGACCATGCTGCATGCACAAGAACAATAGAATTACAACACGCACTGTATTGTACAGATTTGGGCGCACAGTTTTGTACACGCAATGTATCATATTGTATTGTATGTTTCTTTTGACCTCCTTTGACAACGCTTGACCCCCCAGGCACACTATGTCACTATGAAAAAACGCCCATGACTGGGGCCCGAACCAAGGGGCTTTCGATGGAGAGCAGGCCACCTGCGGTGTCGCAGATGGACCCAAGATGTTGGGGTTCACCAACAAGTTCACCAACAAGTATCGTGCCTCTGCCAGACAATGCTATCTTCAAAAGGGTGAACTTTATCCATGTGCCACGCGAGCATACCAAGACGGCAATACGTCGGCATAGTGTGTGCAGGCACGACAACGCCACTACAAGCAAGAACCAGCAAACACTGTGGAGTCTGCCAGCAGGCCTGCGCAACAGCATGACCCCACTTGAGGTGGCAACGTGTCAGCATGTTAGCGTTAGCGGGACCCATGCCAGCGCGCCAGCCCGACAGCATGTCAGAGTGACACCGCATAAGCGTACCTATCATGAAACAAGAATCATGTCAGCGTATCAGCAACCCACACCTCAGCACCTCAGCGATCGATAGCGTATCTGCAAAGTTCCAGAACTGCCACCAGAATGTGCTTCGGAAGCTCCGGCACCTCTCTCCACAATTCTCCAGAATCTGCTCCGGCACCTGCTCCCCAACTTGCGCGGGAGCTTGCCCCGGAACACCTGCTCAGGCTACCTGTTTCGGAACTTGCTCCGCATCCTGCTTGAGACCTTGCTCCGGAGAAGGTCCTCGACATTGACATCAAAGTGTTCAGGAACATAACTTTTCCCAAGCCTGATGGACAAGCCACGCTCTACATCGCGTGTGTTGGTAGACAAAGGGGCATCTATTGAAAGCTGGTTCTTGTTGCAGGAGAGAAAATCGCTTCACCAGTCTCATGAACTTCCATTCACCGGTCCGTCCTACTTCCGTCGCCCTCCCTCGGTCACCTGTCCCACGCCGTCGCGCCGGTGTCGTCTTCGCCTCCAGGAGCGAAGGTCTGTCCCTCGGACCTGTGCCACGTACGGTGAACGTTTGTTTCACATGTTCGTTTGTGAAGACGGTTTTCTCTGTCAGAGAAAGAGGTGAAGAGAAGTGATGCCGAACCGAGCGACGCGAGTCATGGGCCTCGTCCTTTTCGAGGACTCTTCGAGTCAAAGGAGGCGAGTCACTCGTTCGACGACGTAGAGAAAAAGACCGCGGTGCCCGTGACGTGCGCGTTTGGTTGGCCGCCCAGCAAGACTGACAAAATCTGGACGTTGGACAAAATCACTCCGTTGGTGTAAGACATCCCCTCTTTGCAGGACCCCTGGTGTACAAAAGCCCAAGGAAAGATGAGGTTCCAATTGATTCTCAAGTGGTTCTGGGTGATGGCTGAAAATCTGTTCGTGAAACTCCGCAGTACCTGGGTCGCCCGGCTCACTTGGCTCCTTTTGGTTGGTCACCTTCGTCTCCATCTCCTGCTTGGCTGGGGAGGGGTGGCAACCCCACGCATGAGAACTCTGCCTCGTTCCAACAAAGCACCTCACGACACAGGTTCCACCTCACGACATGAGGGTGAATGACATACCAACACACACACACACACGCACAGCGCCATGGCAAACACCCAATATATACCCATACAAAATGCCCCCTAGAAAGAAACGGAAGTTCTCCAACTTTGGCTTCTTGGCTTCAATAGACTTCTTACAAAGAACTCTGTCAAGCATGAGATGTCCACTTCGTCGGAGATTCTTTTCGGTTCGTCATTGGGTGACCTGTTGGATCACAGCGGGTGGTCACGGTAGATTTTTTCGGCCGCCTCTGGGAAGAGCACGCACAAGATAGACTAAAGACTGATAGTCCAACTGAATCATGGGCGCAATCAAATGAGGGACAAGCAAGAGAGAAAGAGAGAGAGAGAGAGAGAGACCTAGCTTACCCCGGCCACCTTTTCCCTGCAGTCCGTTGGATACAGTTACAGGTGGAACTGAAAGCAACCTCTGTGTCCCGATCTGGATTCAATGAGCAGCATCCCTCGACCCCTTTCACTGCCTTCTTTGCGACCTCTTCGACCTGTCGACATCCGTTTTGCGCGACCCCCGCATGCGCGGAGGAGTTGGAGCTCCGGCCCGAAGGAAACAAAACCAGCACGTTCCTTGGGTCGAAGTTTGAGATGCAATGGCTTCAGGAGTCCAAATCCGAGCATTCTTTTCTTGGACATGTTCATGAAGAGATATGAAGAGATAGGTCCGATTGGAGAATCGAAGATGGGGGGTCTTCCCCCATCATCGGTGAACCTCACTCCAGACCTCCCACCAGGGCCGGCCTCAAAGAGCGGCTGGAACTCCGCGCTGGCGCGGTCTCCCCACAACGGCAGCCACCCCTGAGCCATGCGGATCCAATCCTGCCGGCGCTCCAAGATGAGACATTCATCACCTGCACGTCGGGGCGGCCACGGGCAACGGTGAAGAGCACGTGGCGATCGCAGCGCGGCCGTGTCGGTCGTCACCTAGAGGATTGCCCAGGACCCGTGCTGGTCGTATGGGTGTGTATGTGTGTGAGGGAGACGTGAAAAACAACTGGGTTCTAGTTTGATGTTCAAACTTTCCGGGCGTATTTGAAGAATTCCCTAATTTCAATGCACACCCAAAAATGACAATTGATACTATCACATGTACAATGTACAACCTCCATTGTTGTAGATAGTGAATCAACCACCATTAGGCTGGCACTTCAACCATCCGTCTCAACAATTTATCCTCCTCCTGTGTCCCCGTGTCCCCTCATGCATTCCGCAAAAAAACATCCATGGACAAATGCTAGAGTTTCTACCCAGGAAGAAGCATGCATCATCATAGAGAAGAGTTTCAGGAGTTTGAATTGACGGAGAGCCCCTCCACTTCAAGCAGAAACCATCTGCACCAAATTCATCAATCCTTAAACCGGAGTCCGGAGTCAATACCCTAGAGCCTTTACTTATATGTATATATATATTTCATAATCATGTAATATCATGTCCATTCTGCAATCGGACACCACCAAATCACCCATCCCTTGTTTGTTGTTCATGAACGTCATTGGCCTCTTTGTTTCCTCCTTCCACCTCGCCAAGACTCTTCCATACCCCAAAACTGCCCCGCCTGCCGGCAGCCATAAGGGCAATTTGTCTTGCCCGAAGTTCCTCCGAAGCTGGACACCATCGGGCCACACACAGCGCAGTCTGGCGCCCACCTGTGCCTCATGCGGATTTTCCGCTCAAGCGAGATCCAAGCAGCACGAGCAAATCCGAGTAGTGCCCAGCTGGGGACGAAAATGAGGCTAAAACGAGTCATCACGAAGAGAGGGAGTCACGTTACATGTTGCAGTCGTGATGGTGAATCGGACAATGGTGTTCAGTCTTCGGTTGGGATTTCCACCGCTGCGATGCCATGGGTGGTCAAGACAAGCTCCATTGATCAAGAGCTAGTGGTTGACAGGGTAGGGTGTTGGGGGAGATTTGTTCCAAACATCCCGGCCCAGCGAGGATTTTGCCAGCGCAAGCACCGCTGCACCCCTGTTCTTTTAAACGGAAACGCTACATCTACGGACCGACGAACTGCCCGGCTAAATAAACCCTGTTTTTGGACCCTGAGGCGGTGAACCTCCGAGCGCGCCTCGGAGTCGAGGTCCGCCTGCCAAGCGCAAAAGGTGCCATGTGAGGAGGTCTTCGGAAGACCCCAATGAAGAAAATGAGACATCAACGCATGCATTCTGAGGGAGAGTTCATGCCTCCTTCAGATCTTCGATGATCTTCGTATCTTTAGCGCACCCGAAGTCGATGTCGTTTTTGAAGGAAACCCGATTACGCCCGTCCAACACGTCGGTCGCTGGCGGGCCTGAGCTACCTCCACCGGGAGCTTCTGCAAAGCTGCTTGAAGAGCGGACAAGCTCAACCTTCGGGAGGCCGGGGCCAACATCTGCTTCAGCAGCTTGCGTAGCCTCAGAGGTATCTGGATCAACTCGGACACATCGCGTCAGACACGCTCTTATCCAAACACATTCCGCATTCTGAATGTAACACCAGGGCATGTCGGGGTCTCATGGTGTCACTAAGTCTGCAAACTTCTGCCCAGTGGCTGAGGGCAATGATTGGCCTTTGAGATGTTCACAAGGTTGTTCTTCATGATGTGTTCACCTTACCAGGCCGAATCGACAGCTGAAGCGACCCGCTTGATGCTTCTTTTTACTTTCTGTTTGCAACACGCCTTGTTCTTCAAGCACATAGGTCGGGGGAAATCGGACAAAGTTCTTCGTAGTTGGGCTGAGGTGGCTTTCCAATGGAAAGCAGGGAGGACCAAGTTGTGTCCTCACGAGCTCTTTGCAAAAAGTTAAGTGCCTTGCACCCTTAAAGGAACCCCACAGATCGACACACACACACACACGGGAAAATGCGTACTGATTTGAAAGCGGTTTGCCATCTAAGAAAACCAGGAGTGCACATCTGCATGGTCTGTCCAATGAGCTCCATTGCAAGCTGCCATTGAAGAATAATTGCTTATTATATCATGGGGGTGTGCAATAGGCATTGCTGCTTATTTCACAACTCATTCTGGTAAAACAATAAATAACGGTTGTAGGTGACAAGTTCAATTGAACTCAGGCCTTTGTAGCGAAGCTATTTCCTGGGATTAGGACCTTGGCGCCCCACCACCACAAAAGCAAATCAACAATTTGACATTGAACAAACTGACATGTTTATATTTTACATAAACGATAATGCACAATGTATCGCATGGTTTTGGCAACATACCGCACAAACGGAAAAAAACGTGGAAATCATGATCATTCACTAACATCTTCACTTTCCAGAAGATGCTGAGTGAGTCATAGTGAGTTTATCTTCCTACACTTTTCCATGAATCTCATGTCCCTATCCAGACTGAAGGGTTGGCTCTCCTTTCTGTTGATGTTCTTGCCATGTCATGACGTGGGGCCATACTCTAAAAACGTCAAGCTCGACTTCCGACATGGACTAAGTCCTTTACAAAATGATATTCCAGCATCACCCTTGTTTCGCTCCTGAACAATATTGCTCTCTACCTTCGTTCTTCAAAAACGGAACCAGCAACGACGATGCTTTCTATAAACTCAAGTACCCGGCGCAGGCTCCTCGATATCATCTTTTGGTTGCTTTTATGAGGGCTGGAAATGTTGTGAAGGAACGGAAGGTGCCATGTTTAAAAACAGTTAGGTAAGGAGGATGTAGCAGGTACGCCCAGCATCACCAACGCTTAGAGAGCGTTATCGTTGGTGGTTGGTTTTTTGGAACTGCGTTGCGACATTGGTATGCAGGTACGTGACAGGCCGAGGTTCAAATCCCCGTTTCCTTGTTTTAAGATGCAAAGCACCAAAGTTCCCATGGTTCAAGACGCAAAGCATCAACCTGTAAGTGCAAAGTTGCACGCCCAAAGTTTCACTGCAGACGCAAATTCCACGTGCGTGTTTCCATTCTGCTAGCAGGACTTAAAAGAATCGCTCTGACTCTAGTAGAGTTATCTCCGAACTACAGCCAAGTACCGCCTCCTGAAGTAGTGTAGGTAAGCAACACAAAAGGATGGGAAACCTCAGGTTATAGTGAGCCTGCAGGAAGACGACCGACAGACAAGTCTGCATGACCTCTGCCTCCAGTTTATGAGCGAGAGAGAAACAGGTGCGCATTCATGGGCATTGGATCTATGATGCACCTTGCTTAATCGCTGGCTGCTCACATCCGCAATGGATTGCTCCAATTGATACCGAGTCTTCTAAAACTTGAGCGACGTTTGCGCTAAGGCTCCTTCGGCCGCTGTGGCCTGCTCAGTCCACCATCCCGGTGGGACATCACCCCCAGCTTGGCTGGGCCACGGAGGGCGCTACATCAAGCTCACTCCGGGCTCTCAATAGTGAGAGTCACGCTTGAGATATTACGCACTCGTTCTGAATGCCACAGGCCCAAAGGAAACCTTAGTGAAAAAAGAAGCCCAAGTAAACCCAGGTTGAAGCATCTCAGCCGGTACGTGACAGGCCGAAGTTTCAAATCCCCAGCTTCTATGTTTCAAGATGCAAAGCATCAAAGCTTTCAACTTGATGCAAATGCAGAGTTGCACGTCCAAAGTTTCCATAGTGCAAGATGTATAGCCGTATAGCCGCATCAAGTTGCAAATGCAAATGTCCAGTGCATGTTTCCATTCTGCGAGCAAGACAAATTACTCGCTGTAGTAGGAGTGTGTCCAAACTACGAGCAAAACAAACGAATCGCTCTAGTATAGTCATAGTAAGAAAGACGAAGGAATCGCTCATTGCGGTAGTGAAAAGGGAAGAGAACCGACAGACAAGTCACGAACTCTGCCTCCAGTTTATGAGCGAGACAAAAGATCCCAATGTAAAACAGGTGCGCATCCATGGCCATTGGATGCTGCCCTCTCTGATTCATAGGGATTCATAGGGGTAGAAGGGTAGCATTTAAAAACAACGCCAAGGGTGGCTCCCTAATTCCAAGGGTTACACACACAAATGACCTGTTGGACCGAAACGAGTCGTAACGAGTCGCAGTTGATTGGTAGACTCTAGGGCACCCCACAGGTGTTGAATGGATGGTAGCCAGTGAGAGCATAGAAGACCACAGCACCCAGTTGCCAAACGTCCACCAAGAAGAAATCCAACTGGCAGGGATGGTGGACAGTCGGAAGGGAAGCACACCTGGACTCCGGCTGCCTGTCAAACGGACACATTCTCTCCAATCTACTCTGAAGTCCCAAAGATGTGACCTCAAACAATATCATGCCCAACTCGCCAGTTGCGCAGCGACACCTCCAAAAGTACATGTGTGTGTGTGTTTGTTTTATTGATTGACTTGATGGGTCCTTTCCCTTCTTTCCCTTTGTCGGCTGTGCTTCGTTCGCCTTCTCTTGCTTCCTTCTTGCGATCCGATCTGACAGCCCATGCGTTGCTGACTGGTACGACTCTTTAGGATCGAAAAGAGGGTGGCTGGATCATAAGTGATCCAAAGTAGAAGGCCATTCTCTTGTTCGCTACGAGTCGCACCAGTCAGGTTGGGTGTGTATTAGAATAGGAAGCTCCGATTTCCCCTCCACTCACCAAGGAAGGCACCTTCGTCTCGTCGCCTGGCGTGAAAAAGACGAACCACCGGGCAATCAATCCATGTGCAAACCGATTCGCCTCAAAAAAACTGGAACCAATGATTGGTGTGTCTTTCCAAATAGGCTGCACTGGCGCAGGCGCCTACCATTCGGAGACAGATCAAAAGAAGACGTGGAAAACAGGTGAGTTCAAGCTCCGGCCACAAGAAGACGCCCCGCCACCTGCTGCATCGAAGTCAACCCGGACAGACCCATCCGGACGGACCCGGCCTTCCTGCTGCCCCCGAGGTGCACGTTCCTGGTGGGCAAGAAAGCAGATGATCCCAAGTCACCCAACACCAATGGTGAGAACGGCTTTAAGTAATCCAACGGGATTTGGGTGGTTTGAGTCACAGCTCGCCTCAGACAAAAAGGAATGCAGGCCTGCCCTTTGCAAACCGATGTTCAAGCCTCCCAGTCTTCCAAATAGAACTGGAACAATCATGGAAGTGGATGGCATGGCCCCTTGGATGACCAGTTTCCTCTACAAACAGGTGGTTGTCCACTTCCATGGTTCTTCCAAGGAGTGGAGAACATACTCAACCCCGAAATCTGTGCGAAATCGATCCAAGCTTGGCCGAACTCGCAGCAGCTATGGGAGCTTTTGGGGGTCCGTGAAGGCCACCCAATCTGGATCCAACTCTCCTTGATCTTCTTCAAGACTTCGGGCGGCTGCCACAAAGCCCACGACTCAAAGTCCTTGTCCTCCTCCACCTGCGCCGCCCACCGCCGTTTCGCGCATGAAACGGAGCGGCTTCACCTCCGGTTCACGTTGAATTCGGAGCTCCGTTCTCTTCGTGCGACCGGACCGGAACTCGGACCGGACGAACCGGAACTCGGTGGACTGGTCGTCCCCCACCTTGCAGTGTCCGTTGAGGAAAGAGAGGAGACGCACCTTCTCAACGAAGTCGCCCAAGACAAACCTCCCTGACCTGGGTCAAAGAGGCTGACAATTCCCCCTTCCCAGCGAAGCTTAGCCATCTTTAGCCAGAGCGAAAACTTGGGAGCAGAGCGGTGCGGGTTTCGGAGCAAGTTCCCCAGCAAGTGCCGGAGCAGGTTCTGGAGGAGTTTGCAGAGGAGGTTCCAGCTTGCGTATGCTGACATGATTCGTGTTGTCACGCCGATATGCTGGTGTGGTCTGACATGTCGTCGCACTGGCATCTGTCCGGAGCAGCTTTGCTCGTTCTTGCTTGTGGGCACATTGAAAAGGTTCACACTTTTGAAAAGGTTCACACTTTTGAAAAGGTTCACACTTGTGTGGCAAAGACACAACTGTGCCATGCCATTGCCTAGTAGGCCGATGTTGATGCCCATGCTGTTGGGATTTGTTTGTGGGCTTATTTGTAAAAGCGCTCTCTTGTTTTGGGGCTCCCCAAAAGCAACGACTGGGGAACCGGGGGCGGGAATTTCGGATCTGAATGGCCGCTCGGAACGTCCACGATCGCAATCGTCTCACATGTCTGGGACGAATTTCCTGCACCAGGGACAAGCACAAATTCTCTCTCTTCCTTTTCGTTCTAAATGACTACTTTCAGGGAAAGCTTGAAAAAGGATCCATCATGTCCCACGAAGATGTGTGGATGTGTGGCACCTTGAAAAACGATTGAATCACAGCCCAAGTTGCTTCTCACTCTGCAAGAAAACGGATCTGGGCGACAAACAACAATGAGCAATGCCTCCGCGATTCCGGCTGTCTGAGGATCATCCAACAGGGATTTGCGGTCAACGTAGAGACATGAAGAGACCTGAAGGCATCTGTATAGGTCAATTTACTTCTCCCGGCCCCTGAAGGCCTAGGGTGCGGTGATCAGCAAGAACCTTCAGCACCCTTTGGCAACTAGTTTCGCTTCCCCAAATCTCCAGGTGAACACATAGGACATAGGTGACATAGGCGAAAGAGACCCTGTATGAAGTACGCATTTACGCTTACACTCCATGCGCTTGGGGTTTCACCACTGGCTCCAGCACCATTCACTCAATGCGCCAACCCTCGTCGTGCTTCGGAACAATGCCGATGCATCCCAAACACGTGCTGCAAACAGACAACAAACAAATGCTGCCTTCCAGGACATGCCGGGGCCCACACCCGCCCATAGCGCGGAATCAGGACACGGTTAACCACGCCGTCTCTAAACTGCCACGCCGGGCCCGTCTCTGAACTCAGACTCTGGCCCATCCAGTGTATCTCCCCCAGCTGCCACGCCAGCTGCTCCAGCAACGTCCGTGTGGAGGAGCATGGAGCGCAGAGGCTCAGCGGCTGGCAGGACGCCGCCTGGGACACCGAGGCGCGGGCGCGGTGCGTGGGACACCGCAGGAGCTGCTCCGGATGGGTGAAACTCGGAGGCAAAAAAAGAAAGACCGGTGGCAACGTCACTTCATGGTGGATTTTCTGTTTTCTGTGAGAACTACTCATCTCACTGCCGTGTGCATACCTCTTCAAGAGTTTGGAACTGCTGCCTTGGTAGGGACGGAAGAACCTCTGTTTGGCGCCACCCATTCTTGGAACTGCCTCGCTGGGGCGATCAGCAACAGCGAACGGCCAAGAAGGCGAAGGGCTGCGGCGGCTTCTCGCTGTGCGGTTTGTTCGTTTGGATCGTTTGGACCTCGCCTTGGGCGGCCACAGAACGCAGATTGTGGCCACCGAGCGTCGCAAGGTCATGGGGCCCTGGGGGCCGACACGAGGCGAAAGCCCCTTCAGCTCTGGAGAGCTTGCTGTACCCCCCATGCAGAATGACACATCTTACTTTTCGGGAGAGAAGGATTCCTTTTGGGGGAGGTCCTTCCCGCGCTTTCGGGTGGGTGGAGAATTATACCAGCATAGACCCCAAACAGTTTCAAAACGATTCGTTTAGACCAATATTAGTCAAACATCGATTTCTTGGTACGCCCTACTTTCACCCCAAAAGCAAACTGCTTCATCAATGGATTTTTGTCGGCATTGACACCGCTATTTGTTCGGCCACACTTCTCTCCAGTAAGCCTGGCCAGCCACAGAGTTCAGGGGCGCGGCCAAGACAAGGACAAGAGGAGGACAAGACCCGGACACAGAGCCAGGCCACAGAGCCCAGTCACAGAGTTCAGGGGCGCGGCCAAGACAAGGACAAGAGGAGGACAAGGCCCAGCTACAGAGCCCAGCACAGAGGACAAGAGGAGGACAAGAGCCCAGTAAGCCGTCCATAGCACACGAGCGCGCGCGCTCGCCCTGCTCTTTCTATCTCTCTCTCTCTCTCTATCTTTCTTTCTTTCTTTCTTTCTTGCTTTCTTGCTTTCTTGCTTTCTTGCTTGCTTGCTTTCTTGCTTTCTTGCGTTCTTGCTTCCTTGTTTTCTTGCTTGCTTGCTTGCTTGCTTGCTTTCTTTCTTTCTTTCTTTCTTCCTTGTTTTCTTGCTTGCTTGCTTGCTTGCTTTCTTTCTTTCTTTCTTTCTATCTTGCTTTCTTTCTTTCTTTCTGTCTTTTTCTTTCTTTCTTTCTGTCTTTCTTTCTTTCTTTCTGTCTTTCTTTCTTTCTTTCTTTCTTTCTTTTCTTTCTCAGAGTTGACAGAGTTCAGGAGGACAAGGCCTGGACACAGAGCCCAGCCACAGAGCCCAGCCACAGAGTTGACAGAGTTTAGGGAGGACAAGAGGAGGACAAGGCCTGGACACAGAGCCCAGCCACACAGCCCAGCCACAGACGGCCAAGAGGAGGACAAGAGGAGGACAAGGGCACAGAGAACAGCCGCAAAGCCGAGTTGACAAAGTTCCTTGGCGCGGCCAAGAGGAGGACAAGAGGAGGACAAGGCCCAGCCACAAAGCCCAGCCACAGAGCCCAGCCACAGAGTTGACAGAGTTGAGGGGCGTGGCCAAGAGTAGGACAAGAGGAGGACAAGGCCCAGCCACAGACCCAGCCACAGAGTCCAGCCACAGGGTTGACAGAGTTCAGGGGCGCGGGCAAGAGGAGGACAAGAGGATGACAACGCCCAGCCACAGAGAACAGCCACAAAGCCCAGCCACAGAGCCCAGCCACAGAGTTGACAGAGTTCAGGGGCGCGGCCAAGAGGAGGACAAGAGGAGGACAAGGCCCAGCCACAGAGTTGACAGAGTTCAGGGGCGCGGCCAAGAGGAGGACAAGAGGACAAGGCCCAGCCACAGCCACAGAGTTGACAGAGTTCAGGGGCGCGGCCAAGAGGCGGACAAGAGGAGGACAAGGCCCAGCCACAGAGCCCAGCCACAGAGCCCAGCCACAGGGCCCAGCCACAGAGATCAGGGGCGGGGCCAGTGAGTGTGGCCAGCTCTTTTCTTTCTAAGATAGAACCCCAACAGTAAACTGTTTGGGGAAAAATTGATTTGTGTTGTGCTGACAATAATGATAAACTCTATATATATATAATATAATGGTATGAGGTTGAGGAATCAGAAGCGAATTTCTCAGCATTGACTTGGGTGCCTTGGAAAGAAGCTTCATCCTGCTCAATCAGCAAATGTTTCACCGTGCAAAAACTTCCTGGTATGCTCAAGAGTGTTGCATGAGATCAGTACCACCGCAAGTAGGACAACTCTCTGGCCGTCCATTCTGCTCATTTGTTAGGGGGTAGTGCACGAAAGCGAGCCTAAGTTTTGGCAGGCCATAGGAGGGCAGGAGACGTTGATTCCTGTCTAGAAAGAAGCATCCAAGAAGTATGGATAGATTTCATGTTCGCATATGTTAGCATACTATACGGTGACCTTTCAGGGTGGAGGGCGGCGATGGAACAGAACATCCTCCAAGGCTTCCTGGGTGGGCTGTTGTATGAAAACAAGGCCAAAAGAACGCCTTTGTCAGAAGGTAGAAAGAGGGCCCCCGCATTGTTCGGAGCATGTGCTTAGCCTCAGTATTCCTGGTCTCATCAGATTCCCACAGAATTTGTTGTGACCGAACTCGAGAGAATGCTGAAATGCTTCCGCCGCAGGGGAGAGACTGCACTTTACACTTTACATAATTACAAATTATATATACATACATAACTTGATGCATGGTGGTCACGAACAGTCCCAGAAGCAAAAGTGCAAGTTTTTTACCCAGAGCCATAATATGTTGAAGCCAACAGCCAAAAGTTGACGCACAACAACGTGCTGGCTTGTAGCTTCCCTTTGGGCATCATGCATCATCTAGTTCAGGTGCCTCCAAGTCTTGCATAATATAAGCAACATCACTCGTCCAGTTCGCCACCGCCCCACAACAGGCTGGGTTGATGAGGCATCCCCGGGCATGTATATAGACATAAACTGTTGATCTCCTAAGCAGAATGGTGTTCACCTGAAACCCTCTGGGGCGGTTCTTATGAACTCAGCCGCTTCGAGCGGTCCGCACTCTCCGCCTCCTTGCTGCTCCGGATCCAGTGACGGACCTCCTGGACGACCTCCTCGGCCTTCGCAGAATGGGCAGCCGCCGGACGTCGGATCATCCGCAGTCGGCCAAGGTCGCTGCCCATGTCAGTTGTGAACAGTTGTCTCCATCAGCCTGTGAGTTTTTGGACAGTTGTCTCATGTGTTGAACCCCCATGTCTCGGTGAACCCTCCGCTGCCCAGAGTTCTGCCCAGAACTGGGCCCCGTCTTCGCCACCCACATGGAACTCCTCCATGCGCTGTGCACGGCAGTATGGCACCATCTGCACCAGGCAGCTCCAGCTTACATCATGCTTGTCCTTGAGCTCCCCGCGCAGGAGACCTCGGCAGCCGAGAAATCCGGTGTGAAGTGTCAGGTTCATCAGTGTCGAAATGCTGGGCTTAACACAGAGTGAGCAGAAGATGTTTTGCACCCAGTATTGGGCATTCCAAGGAATGCTTGGACATCCTTCTGGTTTACAGTGTGCGGTATTACTTCTTTGTGTGCAAAGGTGGGTATTTCCTGAAACGTGGTTGAATCCAAAAGGAGAAGATGCTGCAGCACTCCTAGAAGCGGCACTGAAGAGGTCGGTTCACAGAAGGTACATGACAAGTTCTGAATGAATAGCTGCAACAGCCCACTTCGATCTAGCCTCCCTCAAGTGCCCAAAAACCTAGCTTTTGCAATGCACAAAATGCTCTCCGTAGTGCTGCCCCGGCTAAGCTGCGGGGCCTGGCTTCCCAGCGCAGCTCTCCCAATCAGCCCTGTGGATTCGCAAGCGGTCGTCGAAGCGCAGGAAGCTGGTATCCTCCTGTCGAGCGGAGGTGTTTCTCACATGTCTTACGTGTTTGGCTAATCCAGGGGATGATTCCATCGAACATCATCCGAAACCCATACAGGCTTTCTGAACATCCCCAATGAACTCCGGTAAACTGTTACTTTGGTCACAGAAACCCATGTAAGACTTTTCACTACCTGTTCGATTCTCCCGGCACCTTGGGGTGGGCTAGCGGCTTGCGGCGGGGGCGCCTCTTCAACGGTGTCTGGTCTGTCCACCTGGCTGTTCACCTCCACCTCAGAGGCAGCTTGGGTTGAGTCAAAGTGTCTGTACGAAGCTCTTCACACGCATGAAACTATGTACAGATTTGCCACTTCTTGTCAGAGGATCCTGGAATCTGAGGAGCGTGCATCCTTCAAAGGGAAAAAGGCTGCCGCACCGCCCCGGCACTTTCTTCGGCTTTTTCCACCAGAACGTGTGCAGCCGAATCCACTCTTTACCACCTCATGGTCCCATAGATCCATTCCCCCCACTTTTTCCCACGCCCAAACTTGGGATCCCTGACATCAGAGGCTTGCCGAAGCTCATTGGGGCCATGGGCAAAAGGACAATAGAACCCACAGCAGTTGTGAGGCTCACAAATGCGCACCTTCCATGCCGCGAGTGCCAAAAACGCGCGGCTCGATGCCATGATCCATTCCAGGCCCCGCCTGGACTTAAAACGGAACCAAAAAGGTTACATAGACGAAATATGGGTGGCCCGAAGGCACAGAAGGAGATGACACAAGGTAACGATGATGATGGTGATGACGATGATGATCCTGGTGACGATGATGATGGCTATGATTCTATGATGATTACGATGATGGTGATGACGACCTTCAGATTCAGCTTCGACGACAGGTGCGCACTTTGCATTTGCCAACTGCCACCTTCATTTTCGACTTCGACCATGACTTTCGACGACAGGTGCGCCATTGAAAATCAGAACGCACGATCTCCGCAAAGTGCTCACGGCGCATAGTCAATATCATTTCACCTCACGTGTGAGCACTTAACACGCACGATCAGCACAAGTGGCTCACCAAGCACAGTTAGTTAAGATTCGCATTTTGCCTCACGTTTGATTACCCGACACGCAGCATCTCCGCAAAGGGCTCGCCAAGCACAGTTGAAATTCGCATTTCACCTCACGTTTGAGCACTTGATGCACGATCTCCGCAGAGGAGTGTCCCAGGCACAAGACGATTCGCATATCATATACCACGCATCCGACACGCACAATCTCCGCAGAGGTTCGCGTTTCATGAGCATCGGCCGGACCAGCCAGCCGCCTTAAGAGAGGATGTCGAACCGAAGTTGTAGTTGTGTAGGTGAGTTTTGTAGGTGTTTTCACCTGGATGTCAATACCTCTCTAAAACACCAGCATCTAAGAACACCTGTATATTGTAGCAGTTCCATCACCTGCAACTCTGCACCTGAATAATGATGACGAGGTTGATGATGATGATGATAATTATCATTATTATGATGATGATGATGACCTTCGAGGGGCCAGCACCCGATCCAAGCTAGCCGACTCCCACGACGTTCTTCGGCCAGACTTTCGCAGTTTTCCAAATGAAAGAACGGAACAGGCTGGAACATCATGCCGCTGGTGGTTCTCTTTGTCTCATTCCCTTCCTGAAAGCACCTGTGATGTTTTTTCTTTTATATACTGTAATTAACGGCTGCCAACTTCAACTGTGCAACCATCATCCTCATCATCTTCACCACCACCACCACCACCGCCACCGCCACCACCAGCAGCAGCAGCAGCACCAGCACCAGCACCATCAGCAGACCGACACAAACATGTCTATTCGGAAACCAAGAATTGGTGTCCCCCTATTGAGATTGTCTCAGTCTCACAAACATGACAAACATGGCAGATTGATGGTGGGACATGCCTTTCAAAAGGGATCACGAAGCCCCAGTGTTGCTTTGGCCATACTAGTTCAAAGTTTAAAAGAAGCCAACTGGTCATAAACCCAACAATCTTCATAATGTGTACAAGTGTACAAGTCACCCCTACCGATCACCTCCCTAAGCGCCTTGTAGTTCTGGGGGTGGTACATCACCTCCTGCGGCCGAACAGCGAAAAGGATGCCATCTGCCTCCGACTCACATCATTAAGGCCGAATCTATGTCGTTGGCTTAGCCCGGCTGGAGTAGTGAGGATATTCAGTACGGCCAAATGGTGTTTAGTTCGGCAAAGAGCCGAGCCTTACGCCCTCACCGGTCCAAGAACCCAAGCACGCCCCTGTCCAAAAGCATAACGTCCAAAGGCTTCTCATGGTGTCGATGAGTCGCAACCAACCCGCTGGTCAAAATGAACCGTGGGAGAAAGCGAGGGCGAGTCATCCGAGTCAAAATAGAACCGTGGGTGAAATGAGCATCCCAGTGAATAGCAGGATACAGTATTTTGTTGGATCAGTGTTTGCCAGATAATTCAACACTCTAAAGATTGGACCCGGATGTCCAATGTGATGAACTTCAAAAGTAATTCATCCTTCTATTTTTGTCACTGACCTCCTCCATTGGTAGAAATACTCTTGCTGGGCCCAAACAACTTTAGGCTTGGGCTGCATCTACCTAGGATCATCGCAAAGATGAACCCTGAAGTTGCTGGAAAGATGCATGTGTTGACCAAAAAAACAAGAAAACCAAAATCTGTCGAGATGTCTGAGTCTAAGTGTAGAAAACTCCTGGAGCTTTACAATCGGCCTCACGCCGACTGGGCCGACTGGCTTTACCACTTGTTCAGAGGAAGAAAACATCCCGCCCCCCCCTCACCTCGCAGAGGCCCACAAGCTATTCTTGGAGACATCCATAGATAGATGAATAAACAAACAACATCCCCACTGAGTGAACAACCCTCGACAAGAGCCACTCTAACCGACTCTAATGAAGGACGGATGATTCTTGGATGGGGTTGATGCTTGATGTTTCTTAATATAGAATATAGACATGGTATACCCAGTTACAGCAGGAAACAAGCCTGAAGTTGCGGATCCACAGGGCAACAACCTCTCATCCCTCACTGGATACCACTCCTCTTCCGAGTGTGCATAGCGGCAGCGGCGGTCCGTACAGCCATCTTGAGTGCAGCGCTCGGGCGTGTAGGCGACCTGGATACAGCCGAGAAGGAGCACAAAAATAAATGATCGGCTGAGCCTCGTTTCACTCGATGGAAATATCTCACAATTTCCACATCTGTGTTTATTTTTTAATGTCAGAGGTAGCTACACAGCATCTGAAAACCGGATCTGATGGCAGGCACATCTTGATCTGCTTGACATTCTTATGGGTCTTTCAGTGTACCAGGTAAGGAGAATGTGGCCCAGGGCCGCATGAATCAGAGGTGCTCACATTCCGGGGCCACAAATGGTAAGGCGCATCTCTGGAGGTACACATGGGCCCACCCTCATATCACAGACAGCCAATGGGCAATGGCTCATCCGCTCGCGGGGACGTCAAAAGCTGATGAAAGACAGGAACGAATCCGGAAGCAATTCTTCACTACCCTCACATGTCACACTTGCCAAGCTCATGGTCGAATTTCCACACTCTCACCCTCCCCAGGTCTCACGCTTGCGGCACCTTCCAGGGATTGCGCCTCACCCAGTTCTGATGCGAGTATTGGCATTTGTCCTCGAGTTTGGACAGAGGAGATTCCATCGTGATTCGAGGAGCTGATTCCAAACATGTGTGTGTCCATGTGATTCCTCGGCACAAATCAGCTTCAACTGTGATTCTCGATTGTACGTCAAAGAGTTGACTCAGACATTTGCTGGTCTCTTTTCCAAACGCGACATGAAAAAGCACTGTTCCGATGCATTATCCTGTCAACTATTGGCCCGGCATGAGATCAGAGGTTGATGGGAAACAGCAGACTGCACCTCCACACGTCCAATACTGTTGCACACCGAAATCCGTTCACAAATCTGCTTCAAGACAGCATCCTGGTGCAGCAAATGTGTGTCTAACAATCTGTGGGAGCCCTCCCACTGAAAGTTCTGTTCTTTGTCACTTTTCTCATGATCAGGTCTATGTGGCGGCTGAAAGCACAGAGAGACCAGGCGGATGTGTGTGTGTGTGTGTGCTTCTCGGTCCTGAAAGTCGCAGCGCCCTTGCGCCAGCAAGCGCTCACACGGCTTGGTGCGGAAGCGTGCCAGGGCCTCCAGGCCCGCGGACCGGTACCGGTCCAGACCGGTCGTTTCAGACCGTCCGAAGGGAACTGCACGCGACCCGTGCTTTTGGGAAAACTGATAGGTATGGGCAACGGCTGCTAGGTCAATCCCACTTGGTCCGAGGTTGGCAACGCTGGTAAACTAGGAGTGGTAGCCGTTTAGGCCAAATCTTTCGGTGATTCGGCACAAGAAACCAAGCATGTGATGTTCAGCGTGAACGCAAAATCCCCACGGATCACAGTGTCAGAACCCAACAAAGAAATGAAACAAGCTGTATGCTATGAAAGCACACACCTCATTTCCATGAAGCACATCTGAACGCGTTCATCCCGATCCCCAAGCACTAAGCACCATCCCTTTCCGCACCACCAAAATCCATCAAAGCCCACACCAAATCGGCGTTCCGTTTCCTTGCCTTCTCTGAGAGGATGGATGAACAGGCCATGATTGCCTGAGGTGTTTTCCCTGCAAATACTTTGAGGAATCCACGAGGCCCGAGTTGGCGAAACTTTGCATTTTGGATGAACATAGACATGTGACCCAATGTTCTATTGTGTAGCTCGATATTACTATAAGATCATGACTCTTGATGAAAAACGATTGATTCAATCAGAATCAATAAGAAGGGTTGTGCATTCACCGAGTTTGTCTGGGATCTTAACTACAGAATTTGATACATCTTGAACTTCATTTCTGAGATGATCACCCCAAATTGAACAAAACACAAGTGGCACAATCATCCAATTTGGCCCACAAAATGAGAGCAGTTCCCCAATGGCACGCCCATTTTCCTCATCCTGCCTCCAAAAAGCTGCAAAGAACGGAGCGGAGGCTGTGGCTGCAAAGTGTGCGATTTCTGAGAACTCTGATTACATAGATGGGCACTTGATTCTCAACATCATCGTTTTTGCAGGTTTCGGATCAAGCAAAAACGAGAACCAGAACACGGGATCTCGGATTTTGAGTCGGAAGGGCTGCGCCGGAACGAACTTAAGTGTGAACACCTCTTGACCACCTCCAGGTTTCCGCCCAATTCCTCTTCGAAATCACATCCATGATGGAAATGCAAACATCAAGGCCGTCAAAGGCAGCTCCAAAAATTGGCAGCTTTTGTGCTTCAATGTACACACATCCTACTAAACCTTCTATCTGACTGACCGACAGCTGTTTGAGCATTTTGCACCACTTTGCTAGGTTTTTTGCAGCTTACACATGGTTTTGTGATCAAACATCCCTGGTCAATCGCCTGACAAACTTCTCAGGCCCACGGCCCAAGTGCCAGAAAACACTTCCATTGATAGAACACTTGTGCCGCGGTTTTGTTGCTTTATTACATGTGTATGGTCAGCTGTGAACCAGCTGAAAAAGAGAGAAGAGTACTGCCAACAAACCACCACC